TGTATATATATATCACTAGTGGACCAACATCTGGAATCTAGAATGAAAAGGAACGAGCAGTCAGTCACTTTACTGGAGCTTTTTCAAATAAACCTTTTCCACATAATCAGCATAATCAGACCTTCATCATCTGCTGGTCTGAATAGACTTAGACTTAGACTTCCTTTATTGTCATTGCACAAAAAACACCAGGTGAATCTTGACAACAAAATGTCGATTACTTGACTACCAGTGTAACAGAGCTACGCCCTTATTCCTACACAATAGTATAACTAAGAGCTAAGAGCTAGCTATATACAGGGTAAAGAAGTATGTATATACATATATATAGCAAAAAGAAACATCAATAAATATTGCACTGAGTTGTTGCAAAAATAAAACATTAAGTTGAAGAATAGAGTCTTTTATCAATATATTTCCACCAAATTAAAGCATCCTCAGACACTAACTGTGTCACAGATGTAACTCAGATAGGACTCAGATGCAGAGATGTAGTTCAAAAGGTTTATTAAACTCAGGGCGCACTCTCAAAGAGTGGAAACAAAGTAGACTAAACTATGAACAATGTATGAAATCAGAATCACTCTTACGGGGCAAAAACAAGACTGTGGATAAAGTATCAGAATATAATTACTCAGAAAGGCGAGGGTGGCACAAAGGCTATAAAACAAAGTGACAAAATAATACTCACAAGAGTTAGGCAGAAAAAAACAAGGAGGTTAGAACACAAAATCACTCTTTCGAGGTAAAACAAGAAAATAAAACAGGATATGAAAACACACAAAACACCAAAAATTCCCCCAGACGTGACAAACTGTGAAGTTTTCTCTCTGTCTTCTTTATTTTTTAAGCTGAATCTTGTAAACTTCTCCTGATAGCTTTGATCCACTCAGAGTTCACATAGAACATGTTAGTTAACGTCTCTGAGGGGAAATAGAAACACAGTGGATTGTAATAAATATTCATTTCTGGAGTTTCATCACCTAAATCCAGTTGTAAGGTTGTGATGTTTGATGGTGTTTTTGGTTCTAAGCCGCCATGTTCATGGAGCACTGGAAGAGGAGACAGATGAGACTCAACTACGAGTGGGACCTCACCGGGTTTGAAGATGAGGAGGTTAGTATTATAGTATTATCTGAAAACTGAGGCGGTGATCTTCTCTTGTAGGTCACTAATCCAAAAGTGGGAAATATTTTTTTCTTAAGTTCAAACTGAGACATTTTACTGTATAATGGAAGTACGAGTTCATTCTGAATCCGATGGCGGAAATTCAATTCAATTCAATTTTATTTCTAAAGCACCACATCACAACAACAGTTGTCTCACAGCGCTTTCCAAACAGAGCAGGTCAGACCCTACTCTGAAGTTAACTACAGAAACCCAACAATTCCCACCATGAGCAAGCACTAGGCGACACAGGCAAGGAAAAACTTCCTTTTAACAGACGGAAACCTGGAGCAGAACAACGGAAATGCGTTGAGATGGGACAACAACGAGCCAAAAATGATGGTTTGCAAGTAATAGGTTGGTAAAATAACAGTGTATAGGAATAATTACTAATAATTACTAATTATAGGAATAATTGGTTGTTGCACAGAGGTTCAGGAATCTGACAATAACATTGTGGAGCAGGTTTAGGAAAGTGCTCCTCAGTTTGGAACAACAGATAATTCTTTTCCTCTGGAACTGGACATCCCAACATCTGGAAATGTTCTGTAGATAATGTAAAGAAGCTCCAGGTATCACCTGAGAACATCCAAAAAACCCGACCCAGAACTTCTGCCCAGTATTTGGGATCCACTAAATGCATGAAGCTATTCCCCCAAACATCCATTAGCTGGGGTCCTCTGTTCCAGATGTTCACAGGCTGATGTTGGAGGAAGAGGGGATGTGTTATGGAAAAAGTTCTTTAAATGAGTGAGGCAAAGTTTCTTAATAATTAGAGAAGATCGATCTTGTCCAATACAGAGATTTATTCAAAGGCAAGAGCGTTCAAAGACGCAGGTCACAGAGTAAATGTCCCCTTATATAACATAGTATGGATAAAGGAAAGGAAAAGGCCACTGTGTTTCTTATGAGCAACAAACAAAGAGATTCTGATTTACATTCCGTCCTCAGGAAGTCCCATGGAGAATCTCCAAAAGGAAAAAAGCTATGCTTATTCTCAGGAGACAGGAAAGGGCCCCGATGTGGATTGATCAAAAGGAGTATCTTCTCAGGAGATGAGTGA